GCTGGCCAGGCGGACGGGCCGTCTCCGAGCCAAGCCACGTGGCACGGACCCCAAATCTATCTCAGTCCGAGCCAAATACTTCAAATGAACACACCAACAATGTCGTCAGCGCCTTGCAACCGCCATCAATGCCAGTCCTTCTTGGGGTCCAAAAAAGAAGGTCACCCATATTCCGCCAAGGCTCTCCAGGCTTCACAGGCCCACCTCCACCAGCGCTGGCGCCTTGCCTGGGAAAACCGCCGTGTCAAAAAGGAAGATGCGCAGCAAGGCGCCGTGATGTTCAGGGTCCATGTCACAACAAATACTTCAGGCTGTCACAGACCTGCGATCCCCATGGCCAAAAATAAACAATTCCCGTCCAACCTGGAGATTGAGCAGCATCCATCACAAAACATAGATCCCGAAAGCCAGCTTTCCATCTCTTTCCCATCCACCCACGCATCATGCGACGCAAGTTGCGAGGCAGGCTTGCAATCCACCCACTTTCCATCCACCATGTTGTAGTCATAGTTCGCAAACACCTTAGACCACCAAATTCAATGTGGGAGTTGCAGTGTCAAGTCCTTCAACACCAGGTGGCCGCGTTGGCTTCGTCGACGCTGGAGAAAGTGATGAAGCCTCAGTGCAAGTGATGCCTCTGTGAGAACAAAATTAACAAAAGCACCTCAAATATCTGGAAGAAGTCCTGAGATGTTTTAATCCAGCATCCGGTGAAATCAAAAAACCATTGTTCTTTTTTGGTCTTCCGAGCGAACCAAATCAAGTGTGGTGGCTGTACACCTTTGCAAGCCTTTGCTAATGTAACACCAAAACATGTTCGTTGATTACGCATATAGGTAAATACAGCAGTCGCGAAGAAGAGCATTTGAAGATTGAGCCAGAAGCAGTAGGGGGGGTCCATGAACCTCGCCCTTGCTTGAAAAGGACAATCCTCTCTTCCCAGGCGTCTTGCGTCTTGTACTTTTGCACACTTGGAAGGTACAAGCTTAGTTGAATTGGGCAACGATGCCACATTCTCTTCCAACTAAGCAGATCTTGGTGCTCCAGATCTCCTAACCTCCGTGCCCACACCTTACATTAAATGGCAAAAAAAGCATGAAGCCAAAACACCTGGAACAAAAAAAGAAAAAAAACACGACCAGTCCACCATGTAGCCAACTTGCAAAAACCACCACCAGTCCACCGTCCACTGTCCTTCTTCGGTCTCCTAGTGCTAGATGACGACCACGCGGCAATAGCCCTTGGACTCGCCCATCCTCGGTGTCCGACCCTGTGTGGTGGTGGTGGATGGTGACGGATGATGGTAGTCTTCTTGCTTCTTTTAAAGCCTTGGGTGGGAGAAATCCAAAACCAAAAGCACCATGGTGACTTCTGTTCTTCCATGTTTTCATGTCACTGACCTGTGGCTGGTGGTTCTTGCTCCGCTTTTTCAGATCCAGGAACATTCGGCGGCGTTTCCGGACGGCCGTCCCTGTTTTCGCGCCCGATCGTTTCGGTTTGAAAATGGTTAGGAGGTGACCCGACCACCCCAGAGCAGTTGAAGTTGGCAGCTACCCACTGCACTATACTTCAGTGAGTACTTAAGTGTCAAAACTCATTTCAGAAAGACTTGTGTATTTGTTTCAGTCGATGCTGCGTGGTCGGTCTCATTGCAGGACAAGTATGGACAAGTGATCCCTTCGACCTATAAAAAAACACGAGGCCAGAGTTCCATTCTTTTGGGGGGTAGTGTTTGCTAAAAGGTACTCAGGAATGTTTCAATTGCCCAAGCAGTGAAAAATCCAGGCTTCTCGCCCACCATCATCTTCACCTCTAAAATGTGCCCAAAGTGTTCGAAAGCACTCCTCACCTGGCCAAGTTCTCAAATGCAAAAAAAAAGGCCTTGGAAAAAGCACGGCCCTAGAGCCCTGCTGGTGCGCCAAATTCGACAGTTGCTCTAAAAGGCACCCCCCAATCTTACTTGCATGCGGTGAGCTTAGTGGGAGTGAGCTTAGTGGGTAGTTGATGCTATCCTTGTAGCTGCTTCAATGGAAATAGAAATTCAATACTCATCCACCTTGGCTGATGCACAGCTCCCTCCAATCCATCTTGCATGACACATCCACACGAAAACCGCACATTGCCTGTGGCTCACTGACCACCTTGGGCAGGGCCCCCCACGAAGACCTCCCGTGCGCGTGCGCGTGGTGATGTGGTGTTCTGACATGGTGAAGTGACCGAGCTGGACACAGGATGAACCTGGATCAAAGCATCAGCGGAACATAAAACGACCTGCCAAATATCCAACTGCCTCAAGGCACCTCCACCTGCAAGTGAACTTGCAGCACCCCCACCTTGCAGGATGCGTTGTTCGTACTCGCCATGGAGCTACTGCCCTTGCTCTTGCCCTTGCCCTTGTCGCTGCCAAAGCTGCCCCACTTGGCATCGCCCTTGCCCTCCCAACCCGGTGGAGGGCCATACCTCAGGCATGAAGGAAACGGTTGTGTGAATTTTTTAGGCGATCGCCTTCAGCAAGAGTTCTCTCGGTTTCCTCCAAGCGGCCATGTTGAAGGGTTCGGAATTCTTGGCTACTCCGCTGCCCGAAGAACAATGGGCGTGTGTTCAAGGCCACTAAATGGCGAGACATGCACACCCTCAGATCCCATACTTTACCAAGAATGTAGACATTCTGATGTGTATAATGTGTGTATATTATTTATGTATACCCACGTCGTACTAGCATAACTATTATACTATATAACTAATTAATATATACTGTATATTATGCGTGTGTGTGGAACTTCTTCGGTGGAAATTTCTGCCCCATGATGGCTAAAAGCGCCTTTGTCTGCTTAGACATTCTGAATAAAGTAGGATCCACAGTCTGCTGCTTCCAGGAACTCTCATAGTGATGATGGGCACCCTACAGCCTGATGCACATTGTTTTACAAGGAATTCACGTTTGCATCGTCGTGAGTCTTGTGCACTGTTGGTGTTTCTATCTTTCATAACCATTAGTTTAACACTTGATTGCGTAGGCGTTCTTCCCATCGCTTTGGCGTTCTTGCCCCTAGGCATCCTTCGTCACCCCTTCACTACAACCAGTGGCCCGGCTGCCTTTGGAGTGAGTGACATGAAACTCAAGCGTCTTAGACTTAGACCAGGGACTAGTGTCAGGTGGCAAGAGTTTGTTGCCCAAAAAGTTGTTCCAGTTCTGCCTCCTGTACGTAAGAATGCACGTGATTGTCGCTGAGCGTTTCTGACCCCCGGAGCCTTTTGTGAAAACAAGTTTGGCGGAAACAATTATATTGCCTAGTGCAGAACGCAGCAGGACACCCCACGATGCCCGCGCTCATGACCAAAAAAGGACACAAAGAAGAAAGCACACAAAGAAAACGATTCTGGTGCAACCCGGGTAACATACTGGCCATGGTGAGGGCCCAGCTCATCAAGTCCTCCATTCCTGGATTGGGGGATTGGTTCATGGTCGAACTGACTCGGTTTTAGGCCCGTTGGGCACCTATGAAGACCCATGGAAGATCAAAGTAAATAAGGAAGAGAAGCGAGAGTTCTTCCTGAAGCTGAAAGTGTGTCCATTCTCTCCAGGTGCGATCCTGTGATGAACAAATGAAAAACACACAAAAATGCTGGCGCGCACCGTTCGTTGCGTGTCCGGTGCAAATGACAAGAAGTTGGTTGATAAGTGTCGGAGAAACATTAAAACGATTACCCAAAAGCTTCGACACTTTGAGATGAACATGAACACCTACGTGCTAGGGCCAAGCTGCCATGATGAAAGGACTCGTGAAAGGATGTGAAAGGGTTCAAAGGTCCATGATAGGCCGCGCCCGGCTGGGCCCTCTACAGGTATATAAGAGTTGTTGACATGTTGTTTTTCAGGACTGGGGCAAGGAACCCATTGTTCCCGTGCAAAGGATTGAGACATCCCGGATTCTGACTGCGCTTGGGGCTAAATACGGGCTAAATCAATGTGGTTGGATACCTCCTGCACCACCAATAGAGCACCACCTAAAGCTTTGATTTGTTAGGGTCACACCTTTGAAAACAGCAGGTGCCCCTGTCGCAGTGCAGAAATCCTTTTGATTTGTTCTCCTGCTGGTGCAGCCTTGGTGCAGCCTCAGACCACGAACCACCCCCAAACGCAGCAGAGCCGCCGTCGCCTTTTCCTTTCCCCTTGGACCAGTCCATGGCGCGGTGTTTCCGGCGGCGGGTGGTTGGGGACCCGGCAGCGGATGGTCCGTGCCGCTGAGAGAGGACGGCGGCGGCAAAAGGCGGCGATGGCGGCCGTGACGGATCGGCGATGGTGTGTCCCTGCCCACAGACCCAACCACAGGAGCTTTCATAAGAGTGCATCTCAAAACCTGAGATGCCCAAGTCCGGCCTGACGGAGTTCCAAATCCATGTCGTACGGCATTTCCTCTGCCTTCCAGTTCCAGATCGATTCTACTGATTCTACTGGCTTCATGCCGTACCTACCCCAAACAATGACTTCGTAGGACAGCCAATCAGTTTTCAGGGTCAATGGGGCGGCATCAATTCCAAAGTGCCATGGAGTACACAACTGGCCAGACAAGGAGTGTGATCCCCAAATAGATAGCGGCACGGTTCCCTAAAACACTGTTATATCGTCGGGATCTACTTGTCTGTTCTGTTTTGTGGGTCTATATGACATGCAATGGAGTGTTTGGGCACAGTGACCTGCAGTCCACAGTTGTTTGGTTGCAGATTGTTTCGCCCACAGGTCGATCCTCCAACGAAAGCCGTGAATACGTCGGCGTGGATCCTCCATCGAAATCATTGAAACTGGCCACGGAACAAACGGCTGTGTGGCTCAAAAAGCGGGAGACACCCCCTCAGCTTCGGTTCGGGAAAATCGACCAGTCATGACAAGCCAGGGCTGGTAGGGGTCTCCATGTTTGAAGTAGACACCCAAATCTATAGCTCCTCTGGACGCCTCTCAAACCACTGGACGACCCATTTCCCCCAAACTCGGCGAGCGCCTCGCAGCAGTCTGGTGCATGGGCTCCTGGACAGAAACAACCGTCGGGAGACTGCCGCTGTCCAACTGACAGAGAGAGAGAGAGAGAGAGACCGAGAGACCCTGAGATAAAGCCAACGGCACATTAATCGTGGAATCTCTAGATGGCACTGCAGATCCGCATACTTTCTGAGTTCTTTGGGGATTTGAAGGTCTGCTGACTGAGGAGGTAAAAGCATGATGGCGCTCAGTGACCTTTGGTGTGGCACATGGCGCTTGGCTTAACTCCGATGCCAGCAGATGGAATTGGAGGGCAAACATGTTGCAAGGTCACAGCACCGATCAACACTCGACACTCCAGTTGTGGCCCATGTTCGTGCAAGGCCTGGCAAGGCCACCGGACCTAACCCCCCTCTGTCTCTTCAATGGTGCTACATCTCAAGGCCTGCGTGGGGGGGGGGTCTCTATTCCACTGTCTAGATCCGTCTAGACGATGAATTTTCCCAGGAAGTGTCCGCGGGACCAGGCGACCTGTCTTCACCCTTCTGCGAGAACCACGGGATGCCCAAATCCCAAGGTAAAGCCACAGCCACATGAAGCTACTGGACATACCTCTATGATCTATGAGTATTCTGATGATTTTTTCCGGGATTGCCAGGTCACTTGCGCAAAGAGGTCGAAGCAACAAAAGTCTGAAACACCAAGAACCACATAGACGAGACGACCATGGGTGCGCAAAAAAACCCAAAAAACAAAACAAACACGATTCAAAAATTATTTGAAAGGATATGTTCTGCAAAATGTGCAAATCTCATCATATCTCGGTTACTGCTCAGCTATTGAACAAACACATGGTCCACACCCGTTCGGATGTGCCCACCCGTTCGAGCCTGAGCACACAAGGCCCATGACCAGTACCGATGGAAGAAAATCTCTGAGGAAGGTGGAGTTCCAGGTGATTTTTTCTCCGTTCTCTGGCGCGGCTAAAGTGAAAGAAACCAGTTGTGATCATGTGATCTTGATGCTGCAAGAGGGTGTCTCTCAAAATCCGTGGAAACCCCCTAGACTGCCAGGAGGACGTTGCTCCATCGCTTGATTTCGAAACACACAATGGCGCCAGTGAGGTTTCTGGTGAGTGAAGCGAGGGTCCCTTCTTCTGTATCCATGAGCCACCACAAAGGTGTGAAGCTACTTCCAAGAACTGACCCCCTTGTCAATCTCCAAGCCTTTGAAGGGTGGTATGGTCAGAAGTGCTGTGCTTGAATGGAGTCCAGGCTTCAGGCCCAATCAACCGGCCACATCTACTCCGAGCTTGATTGCAAGAATGTCACGAGAATGCCTATTAATCAGCTTGAAACATGGCTGATTTAAGTGGCCAAGTCCTCCGTGTGGTTTTCCACATGAAGCTGATTCAACCCCTTGCTGGTCCTGTTCAACAATAAGCATAATATAGCATAATAGTTACTTAATATTACTTACACATATGACTCTCATGACTCACACGACTCATACGACTCACTAACGTGGGTCGACGTACACACTTCGCATCGCTGGAGCCGAATAGCCGAAGCCCGGTTCACCGTCCGGAGGAAAGCCCGCGCGCCACATGTCCGGAGTTCATCGTCGAACTGAGCACAACGGACCGACCGGAGCATCAAGTCCCAGGGTCCCAGCAGCTGGATCCATCGAAGTGGTTTGATCGACAGTCAACGATTCCGTGGTCTGGTTGAAGAAGTGCATGCTGCCAACCAGAATTCTCTGTGAGCCAGCTGAAGATCTATCCGGGTGAAGATCCATCCGTTGGAATCTGATACAAAAACCGACCATTGCGAAACAAACTCTCAGAAAAAAAAAGACTTTCCTATCTTCGCAATCACCCAGGAACCGGCTGGTTGGTAGACCCTGACCGTCCTAGGACCCTCCTTGACCATCCCAGTCGCTCAGCCGCTCCGCTCACAGGAGGCATTTTTCTCAACCTCCGCCTCCGCCTCGTGGCCTCCGGTGATGGGCCACAGGAGCCAAATCCATGAAACCCGGATCCTCGGTTTCATCTTTCCCGGTTCAAGAGCTATAATGCCCTATAATTATAATGCCCTAGGACCAACATTCATTCAATAGCCTGAATCAATAGCGAATAACAATGATTACTTTACTGATTTTGGAACAGTCTAGACTACAAAAACCAAATCAACTTAAAAGAAGAACGGCTTTCAAGGCTATAGAGGGATTAAAGTTAGATTCATGCAGGCTGTTGATATCTGTCGATCACTCAAGCTCCCCAGGCCTGGAGAGATAAAACCATGTAGAACCAGTCTGGTGGGGGAGGGCTGTTATTGATCAACACTATGCAAATCTTTGCGGTAAGACTTCACACAGTCAGTAAAACTATATTATGCAACAGACTATGCAGCAGTGGTCGCAGGTCGCACCTTTTTGTTTCGGTGAAACCGCCGAATGTCTTTGGTGGCGGCTGAAATGGCCCAAGATCTTTCTTGGGCTCCGTAGATGTATCAAACACAAAAGACCCCCCCGGAACTGTGATGAGGATGTGGTAGATCCCTTGTAGTTGAGATCTGGATGTCTAGGTCTAGAGACATAGGTCTATACTAGTGTTGCCAACCTTGACCCCTGAAACCACCCCAATACCAAGCAAATATAATATGGTATGCATTTGGAGCGTTTGGGTCTGACAGTCCTTGTCTGGCATTGGATTCTGCTTCGATCTAGGTTCCACAAGTGCGCCACTGTTTTTCTGCATGGGGTACAGGTAGGATCCGGTAGGCAGCCTAACCAGCTGAGCGAAACGCAATGATCCAAACATGTTGAGCACCAAACAACCTCTTGGGATCTCTTGAGTATATATTCCCAAGTGGCGCATTTGTCGTTTCAAAGGTTTCTCCAAACGTTGCCTTAGAACATTCGTCCACTATTCAATGTTGGTCGCCTGGCATACGTCAGTACGCTTAGGTTGGAATGACCGACAGCCTCGGGTTGCAGTCATGCTCCGACGCAAAGATTGCGGTGAAGTGAGGAAGCCTTTTGGATTCGCAGGGGAGCTTCTTCGCCATCCGGGGGTCTTTCTTCAGCGGATGATTCCGCCACTCTTCCGGGCCGCGAATTTCTGGGCAGCGAAGCTGGGTGGAAAAAGTGGTGAGTTTGCGCTGACACCGTCAGCTCCAGGATGTAGCAAGTGAAAATGCATAAATGCCTACAGAGGATGGCCCTCGATTCATGACAAGCCTATTCCGATGTTCCTTTTTGGGGGGAGGGCGTTATCCAAATGAAATCACGACCAACTCAGTGTAGCAGTGGAGCAGCAGTGGAGCAGCATGTGCTTTTGAGCGCTCAGTCCGCTGCGCCACGGGCGCATTGCAAAACTGACCCTCTCAAACGACCGAAACAGACTGGTAGACCAGCAGGGACCACATGAGCAAAAGATTCTGAAGCACATATAAATTTCCTGAGAAGCTTTGATGCGGGTCGTAAATGAACAACGAAGACTCAAACGCCCTCCTTGTTGCGTCTCATAGTGCCCACTTCCATACACTCCCAGCAGAAAAGTCTGCACCCCATACTCTCCAACATGTCCACGTGCACAGATTTCCTCCCAGCATCTTCATGCAACGCCTTTCACACTACTGTGCTGGTGCCGGCGCCGAACCTCCGGAATGCTTGAAAGAGTCCAATTTGGCCCAATTTGGCTTGCTTGGAAGGTCAAGCGGTGCCCACCTGGTGCCCACATGACCAAGCGGTTCGATCACCCAGAAAACGAGCCCGGAACGGCCCCACCGCATCACCCCCCAGAGTTCCTTAAATGGATTTCAATGTTAGGATGTCTCCTGGATCGCTCCAAAAAGCGTTGTGCAACTGTACTGTGCAGCATGTCTGACAGCATAATACATTCCTGACGTTCGCATGTCTCTCAACAGAGACAAGCATGTCTACGGACGTTGGACGTCGTGGATCGTTTTCCAGGGAAGACTCAACGTCAACACCTTTTGGAGGGTGTTTCACCCGAAAAAATGTAGAAAGTAAATGTTGAAAACCACGATAGACATGATCTCACATGCATGGGATGCTCCTGGACAAAGCCTAATTAATCAGTAATTAATGCAAGAAACACACTCTACAGCTTCAAATGCCCATTTCCGAAGCTTCCGACATTGCAATAAGTAAGGCCCCATGCAAGACACGAGCCAGGACCAAATAGAGATCATTGGCACTTCAAGTTCTTGGAAAATATACCCTTTTGGGGGGGCTGCACTCTTTGGGAAGATCTCTCGCAGGCCCGAGAACTCCAAACCGGCATCCTCTTCCAGCATGTTCCAAACCGATCACTAGAGCGACAATGGCTGAAGTACCGCGGGTCACTTTCTCTGGATTGGGGCTTCTCCCTCGCAAGCAACACCTGGTTGCCGTGGTCGCATGGTTCGACCGAATGGAGTTGGCCTAAGGGGTCTGTTTCCCAACTAGGCCAAGTGACCCCCACCCTCGCAACATCGGCTGGAAGCTGGGAAAACACATGTTGGCCACCTCTTCTATCGACTGATCGATGGCAATGCGGTCAGTAACGCATGATTGGCGACTCCTAGCGGCATTCATCTTAGTTGAACAAGGAGTATTCTTCTTGGCGGCACCGAGCAAACCCTCCGATTCCTTCGGAATGGGAGCGGAAACATGGAGATATCCATGGGACGCACATGGACGACGCCACTGTCGTGGGCCAGTCGGTGGTGGCAGACCTCCAAGAAATCCAACAAACATGCTACATGTATAGATGATTATACCATATTATACCTAAGAATCCTTGGGCTCTCCATGGCTCCTAAGAACCCTATGTGTTTGAGGGCTCGGATTCTTAAGCTTAGGATGTAAATCTTGGGATTTCTTTTGCTTGGTGAATGGAGGCCATATTTGTCGTCCACAACCACAACATCGAACCTGAGGTATTCGGTATGCGGCAGCCGTTCTTGTCTGCCACCTTGGACCGTTTCCCATGACAGCTTCAACCTACTGGAAACCGCTGCAGACTGCACTGCACAACAGCAATTCCCCCGGTGCTCACGGGAGTATGCTGTCGGCGGCCTGTGGCCGAATCGCACTCGTCAGTTCAAGGTGATGGGCTTATGAATCGGTGTGTTTGCTTTAAATCTCATGGGCTTGATTTTGAGGCGGTCTAATTAGTTGCTTGGGAATCTCTCCCATTTCCTCCTGTTTGCCCAATTTCCGGGGGGGTTCAACATTAGAAGGACTTTGTGCTGGGATTTGGCACCTGCTTGGAGTTTTGGGCACGTGTGCGCTGTCTCCAAGCCCATTCCCTCTAGTAAGCTTGGCCAACCAAACAAAGCCCGGCCTTCCTCGAAGCCCAAAGTCGCGCAGCAAGAAATCTCTATATTATATATATATATATCTATTTTTGACATCATAACTTGGTGCTAAGATTGCAACACATCAAAACTGCGTATACAGCAAGCTAGTTCTATTTCGGTCTCTTGATGTCTCTCGATGTCTCTCGAGCCCGAGGTCTGAAGGATCTTGACATGATTTTCAGATCCCCCACGGAGAGCTCATTAGCTTGCAAAGCCGGGGGTCTGAAGGATCTTCTGATTCACCCTTCCTCCACGGCGAACAACGGCTCGTCAATGTGAACCGACTCACTCCACACATCGAGCCGATCTTCGAGCTGAACTGAGTCCCAGTGTCTTCAGAAGAGTTTGACCAAGAATTGGCCCTTCACAAAGGTCGGATGTTTGTTTCAATAGATGGCGAATCAGGTCCAAACTTGCCACTGGAAACTTCAGAGCTTTTAGACTTCAACCTCCTTCAGAAGAAGTGAATCTCTCCAATTGGGATGTGGTCTGTCACCTGCGGATGTTTCTCCGGCAGAGCATCCTCCCAGGTCCAGTCCACGAGACAGCAAGGGCACCTGCGGTATGAATTTCAAATGCTCACCTTGGACGTTGCGGTCGCCGGGTACCCCGATTCAGCTGATTCTTTCGAGCCAGAACTGGGTAGGACCCATGTATTACCCTGCAGAAGAGCCAGTGACTTCGCAACCACCTGTGGAGGTTTCAGCAAAGGCCAATCCTTCCAAGAACCAAGGCGAAGCCTACGCTTGGAGGAAAGTGGCCTCTTTGGCTGAGCTGAAGGATATAGGAAAGAATCCACAAACAGGTTCGGAACTGTTTCATTGTACACGTGCTTATCCTTTGTCCTGACATGGTGAGGTTGCTGCCAATTTAGAAAACAGTCACTGGCATCATTTTCTGTGACCTGTGGCTCTGTCTCCGGGTCCAAAATCCAGCAAACATCACCAAACACGGAGCACTGACTGACCTGCTATGACCTAGAGAGAAAACTCTCGCATGTCTCATGGAGGCCGATCTCACGCCAAGAATTGGGGTTCGGACCTGCCAGGTAGAGGACCTTTGCATCTACACTCCATTTTAACTCCCCACCTGAAAAGAATGGCCATCCCATGGCCTTCTACTCAGTCCTACCTCTCTTTCTAATTGCACAACTTCGAGAAGTGAGGCTTTTCCAGAAAAAAAACAAGAAAACCTTCATGTCGGGTTGCCACTCGGGTTGCCTATTCTATTCTCCTGGGGGTCATCCTCCAACCCCTTGTGGAACCGCCGACTTCTTGAGACTTCCAGGTCGCATAGACCACCTCTTCGTCGACTCCGTCCTGCGCCGCCCGCCGAAACGGGCCGTTCGGGGGCCGTTGTGTTCAACCCGATCGATTTGTGTTCGATGCTGAGATGCCAATTAAGGCCGCTTCTGTCCAAGAAAGCTTCTTGACGAAGTAGGATGATGAGAGGAAAGGCCCACCTATCTCAAACTGACCATCATCTGACCTAGGTCTGTCATCAAACCCAACTCAAGACCATAGATACGAGTACATGTAGTTGTATCATTCTGGAACGTTTGGATCTTAGGATATCTTAGGCTTTGACATGTTAGGCACTGTCCGGTTGTGTGAAGTCACTGTGGCGCTTCCAGAGCAGCCCCAGGTCCCCCAAAGATCCGGTGAATCAAGTCTAAGCGGACTCAGCGGACCTATGGTCTGCCCGTGCGGAGCTCGTCTTGGTCCGAAACGCCCAATAAGCCAAACATGAAGCTCAACGGCCCCCCCCCGCAAACGAACATGGAACCTGAGAATTGACCGGTGGTTTCGACCCATTTCCCTGGGGTCAAATGTGGACCTCTGCCACGGGGGCAGTGCACACTTCGAGAGCCAAAACGCGCACCGAAACCACTCCCGAACGGCTCCTCCGCGGTGGGCTCCCGGGAGAGGGTCCAAATGCCACGCCAGTTCGGTGCTGGAGGGTGGCGCCTTGGCCGGTCAAGAGAGGGATCAGGCGGGTAGTATGGGCAGCATGGTAAGCTTCTAAGTGGTAGAGCAGTGGGATCTGAGATGTGAGAAAACCAGCTGAACATGTTGTATTTGTTTGGGGGTTTGGAGAAGGTGTGTTTACACATCTTAGATGTCCCTCCTTCCTTCCTTCCTTGCTTCCTTTGCCGCCAAAGAGCTGGTAGTAGCAGGCCCTCTTCCTCATCACCACCGACGCCTTGTCGAACAAACCAAAATACTGGCCCGTCTGCAGGCTCACCTGGTGCTACCAACGCTGCTCGACGAGTCTCTGCCCGACTCAGAGAAAACCAGAAGGGACTGAATTTCACCAAACTGAAAGGCAAATTTTCCAGTTAAAGCAACAACTTGACCCAACCTTACCAGAAAGCCAACAAAATCCACCTAGCAGGTAAAGTTCATAAACAAAAAATAAGTTCCACATAGTTCCACCATCACAAGCACCTGTTGTAACGTCATGAACTGACATGTTCTGATCCATACAACAGACAAAAAACTCTGCACCTGGGAAAGCTTGGGGGTGTCACATGGACAAAAGGGGTATGCCTGAATATGTTCCGATGGATCCACCCACACAGAAAACACACCCGGGACCATGCCACCGTCTGTGGCGGACGAAAAAGGACGCTGCCGGAGCGAACAGGGCGGCGAAGGAGCCTCACCTTGGGGAACACTCTATGTATATATCCCTATGGATCGGGTCGTGTCTTCTCAGGTTCGGTACGACTGGACCCTCCAAACCTACATGACAGTGTCTCCAATCACTGTAGTTGAGAAGGTACATGGATCCCTATATATACATATCTTTTTTCGGTCGTCCAGCGAGTTCAATGCAGACCCACATGTATTACATCTATATATAGATGGTTTGTGTGTCTAACAGGCTTCCAACGGGAGCCTGTTGGATGTGCCTGGTATATACTAATCTGATGGTGCCGGAGCCCAGCTCGAGGGCGCCCTGGAGGGCCATCCCAGGGTCGCGACCCGCCTCTCTCCAAATCGCCGCAGCTTTGTCGAACTTCCGATCTACATAGTATCTGAGCGCTTGCCTGGGACCACTGAAAGGCGATCAGTGGTGCATTGCTGTGCGATCCCCAACTGGGCGCGACACCTGAACACCCCATTGAAAACCAACTCGCCCCAAATCACCTTGCGGATCCCTTCGGACGGTAGGAGGCCCAGACTGGCCCCCACACGGAAGTGACCTACCCTGGCCCGTAGGGAAGCTGATCACTTCGGAAGTGGTAGGTCGCTAAGGCTGCGGTGATTTTCAGAGCTCTGAAAGTTCCTGGGATGGTCATTCATCCTACCCTTACCAAGTTGCACTAAGGGATGGAATTCAATGATGACCCATGACCATCATCACTATCATTATCCTATTAGTATACATGCTTTGTCTAACTTTAAGGCAGTCACCCCAACTGTCACCATGGCAGTTGTAAGATGCCGGCACTCAAACCGGTTTGGCTAAGGGGCTCGTACTTCTTCGCCAAGGACTCGCGAAGGTTGTTCCTGAAAGCGTGGCGCGGCGTACACCGTCACACCAGGTCAAACCCTCACACCGCTTGTGCCGATTTGGAGGTGGAGCTGGTGGAGCTTGTTGGAGGTACGCTTTGTGGCGATTTTCCGCGGGCGGAATCATCGAGGAATCTGAGAGGAGTCGTCTAAGGTGAGGGGACTATATCGATTCTGCGAATTCCGTGCTTCTCTGGTTCCGGGATGTCCGGGAAACATTAGCAAATACCGGGTTGTTGTTTTCCGGTTTGTTTCTCTGGTGAAGGGCACAATGAACAAATCGAGAGACAAAGTCGATGCCGATCACGAAAGAAAACTCTGGTGGCCAAATCTGGGTGCCATCCAACCATTCCAATCCTTCCTTATCCAAGGCAGCAACGGAACAAAGGGAAAAACACAACAAACTCTCCACGATCCACCGAGTTCGTCGCCAGAAACGGAGGATTCCTAACGCAGCCAAGGTTGCTTGAAGCTTTGTCGACCATTTAGGAAGCAAACCACCTCAGAAGAGGGTGGAGTCCAGCCTTTGGATGGCGGCTTGGTTTGAGGACTACAGAACTGCCATCGTGAGGTCCCAAGGGTACTGTATATACGCTTTAGATGCAAGAAGCCAGCTTTTTCGATGTTCTGATCTGTGAGATGTGTCCGATTCTCACAACATTGAGAAACCATTCACATGGGGGGTTAATCAAGAGTCTACGATACACTCAAGGTGCAATATCAACTGCTCGTCCGTAGATCTTCCAGTGCTAGGGCTACGCTCGTCGAAGGTTGCACAAGATGTGGACCCGGCACGCCGTACAGCGTGTACAACCCCAACAGCGTCAACACAATATATTTACACCCGGGAGAAATCAACATGGATCCTGAAATGTACCTTTGGACCTGTGGAAGACTCTTGTCCTCAAACCAGTGGTTTTCAGGTTCCATGTGGGTCTCTTCCAGAGTGTGTTGATGGTTCTTCTCACCTTGAACCAAAACGAGGAGATTTACAGCTGACAGGGCAGCTGGTCAAGTCGCCGCCCCACAAAAGGCACCACCGTGCCGCAAGCAGGATGTCCGGGTTGCTCGATCATGACCAAAAACCGGAGGAGACCTTCGGAAGATCTTGTTAGACCGTCTTTCAATTTCTAACGATCTTCTCCTATAGGACACCTGCTTCATCTCCAAGGTGCTTCATAGACCTGCTCTTCCAAGTCTTCGCCCTCGCCGTACCTTCTTGGCTCGCTCTGCTCGGAAAACCACGGTGCGAAAGACCAGATCTGGAGGTCTGGGGTCTGGGGGTCTATCACCCATCGGCCCCTTAGAGGCCGACCTCAGACTTCGACCCCTTTATTGATGTGACAGAGTTAGTCGACCGATCTGATCGACTGCTAAGAGAGTGATAGCGGACAGACCCAAAAGGATATCCAGACTCACTCCCTCAGTCATAGCCCCGCCATATGAAAAGGTGTTTGCCATCAGTGGGGGTCTATTACTCAAGCTAAGAGTCTACATATGAATACGATAACAGTTTGGGATAGGTGCCTGGAGGCTTCAACTATACCCTGCAAGTCCGAAGTGTTAAACGAGTACATTTCGAAGAACAAGTTTACGAGTACCTTTTGTCTGTTTGTGGGAAGCCAGGCCCTTTTATTCAAGCGAGTTCAACATCACCACTAACGGCACATAGAACCTGCAAAAATGCACCCAATCTTTTAATTCATGCAAACAAAACAACCGTCAAAAAACGTCAAAAGTTGCAAAAAATACACATACTGGTTCCTTATATATTGCAAACATATTGCAACCATTAAGGGGACTAAGGACCTGCTACGCTCCAGTTACGCTCCTGTTACGGTTTTGGAAGATCATTTGCAGTTTTAGAAGTCTCCTGGAGGAGTTTGTTACGCTCCTGTTATGCTAAATAGTTGGCCAACAATTCAGACCTCTTTGCTCTTAATGTCGAATAATTTCACTCATAACCACCAATAAAAGCTGGAATATCACTCAACATCGCCTTTGATTCCCTTCCAAACCACCTGAAGAGATCATGAACACTATTTTTGGCTTTAACGGAACTTTAGTGGGACCAAGTAAAACTAGGTTCCAATAAAGTAAATGGTGGTCATTGTCTCCAATTCTACATGAACAAGTTTAACGAGGTCATTGACTTGGAGGGATAGCTTTTGGGGATGTAGTTGGATCATGTGGATCTGGTTGGTATTGTTTGGTTGGTAAACACTGCTCCATTCTGATGTAGCTTTCTGAAGGGGTGAGTATGCAGTTGAATGACACGGGTGGAATCGTCGTTTGGTGTTGTGGCAGGGTGGGGGTCATGCGCGTGACGGGTCAAGCCGGCACACCCTCGACAAGAACACCAGTCCAAGTAGCGAGGGGCTGAAACCAGAACCAGAAAGCAGTGGCATCTGTAGCAATCATGACACGAGGCTTGAGTATTTCGTTTAAAATCAATTGGATTGTAAGACATTGTCAGGCATCTTCTTCATTCAATAAGGTCGTTCTAGTACATCGTCCTTCGCCCAGGTGCATTTCTGCATAGTCGATGGGTCTCACCACGAACCTCAGCGGAGTATATGGCGGACGTTCCAAAGCCACCACACTCTTCGTCCCCTCCAACCTGAATCCAACGACGCCAGGTTAGATCTATGCCAAGCAGGCCACTGATGGCCCCATCCACCATGGCCCACAAAAGAAAGGACCCTACTAGTCGGACAAACACCCCACCACCCACCACCCACCTGGAGATGGGCGATACTCCAAAGGGCTTTTGGGTGTTGCAAAAAACACATGGAAGGCCCATAGTCTTATGCAACATAGTCTTCCACATTTCTCAGGTTCCATGGTTATAGTTTGCGGGAGGGGTGCCAGTTCGGCGGTTTGATGGCTGTTTGATGGATGTCTTATGGTACTTGCCTGCATGATATGTTACTGTGGTGGTAAGCTTGTTCAAAACCATTCAAAAACCCAAAGCATGCCCTTGCCGTTGCTCTTCCAAAGAAACAGGCGCCCAAAAGATCGCAAGGTAACTCAAGCCTGCTGAGCTGCTAACCTGAAGGACTTCATCTTTAAGTGTCCCAACAGTTGAAATCACTGCGCATCCAAGTGGATGGCCCCCACAAACTCCACACAACATGCAGCGAACAGCTCTGAGCCCCCGCCATAGGCCAACCCCCCCAGAGCCAATGAACAGCATGGACTTCAAAAATTGTCAACCAACTTTGGCTGGAGTTTTTGGCATTCGATGGCATTCGCACGCATTCAGAATTCACATATCTCACACATCATCATCTGCTCTACTACCAGCTCTTGTCGCTCTTTTCCATTCCCGCGAACAAAAATCAACCACCCCCGCAGAATGAAGCGCTAAGAAAGCCACTCATCTTGCAGGCGGCGGTAGGTGGCCTCGAATCCAAACAGCACAAAAAACAATCCTTTGCAATTGAAATGGCTGTGGGGCAAAACCTGTTGGTCCGGGTTGACCCTGGTAGGTCAACCTCTCTTTCCAGTCTAATCAGCGGTGAACAGGTCCGTCTGTCAGCGCCATGGTGCGCTGCCTGCGAGGGAAGAAGGTTCCATATCATACCCAGTGGATCCCGGTTACCAGGGATTCTAAGGAACCAGGCATTCTAAGTCTATGGTTTTTGTCTTTGGAACCGCTGGTTGCCAGCTATTCTATAGTGGTTTGCCCGGATCCCTGGGATATGGTTCCAACACACGTTCGTCCCCTGCTGATCATTCCATCATATTCCATCTGATCTGCGGAAGATCTTTTGGACTGTTGTAGCTTTAAAGAAGGTTGTATAGCCTATAGCTAAACCGATCCACATGGGTATAGGCACATCCTGATGTAGAGAGACATCCATATACATATACAATGTGTTTTCTTTGCAGGCGCAAAGCCAGTCTGACCAGTGTAATAGTCAAGCGTTCTCGAGGCTTTTAGTAGGATTTCACCTACAAGTCGGGAGTTCCTTACCTGGTGTTCCAACCTGAGAAGCTGGCGAAGTTCTGCTAGACACTCACGTGCTTGTTGGCCATAGTTTGGCTCCAAACAAGGTTCCAAGATCGTACACCAGTTCATTCTGGGCAGAAAAGAATCCCTATCTACATGGTCTGCCCACTGTACATGCACAGGATGATACAAATTTATCCGCAAGAAAACGCCCTCCGGCCAAGATATCTAAACAGCATCAAGCTCAGGTTGTCCCAAAAGCCCTGCAGTTCGCGTGCCCTCCGGATAGGTCGGATCTTCTCTCCTTCGAACCCTGCCTCAGAGATCAGGTTGCTGGTGCCATAGGTCCTCGGATACGAGGAGGCGTTGCGGTTCTTTAATGCAAACATATTGCCATGTTAAACATGGATGATCATGGATGCCATATGTGCCTACATTGGGGTGGTTTTGGGGGGTCAATGTAGGCATATATGGCATACATGGAGTGTCTGGGTATTGCCATGTCAAACATGGAGTATTGGGATAGAACAATATAGGAACTGACACACCGCTAATCTTCTCGAACATATTCCTCTGTTTTGTTGCTGTAAGATGCTGTAAGCATCTGCAGTTTGTATTCTAGATGACTATATTTCTAGAATCCTTGAAACGAGCGGCAATTCTTTTGACCTTGCTGCTTCCAAAGGCCCATTGGGGGAGGGCAACGAAGCAAGTACTCGGCTTCTCTGTAGGATATCTTTCAACTCACATCACCCATGTCCATCTCTGTGTTCAATGAAGCGGAAACATCCAAACATGGAGCCTTTACTTGGATCTGTGGGTTTCTTTATGCTTCTCAAGGGTCACTTGGCTGCATACTAGATACAACAAGCATGTACTGCAGTCTATGTCCACACGTTTTCAGAAAGGGTTCCTCAGGACCTTGCAGGTGAGTGTGTGGCTCAAATAGGAAAATATCATAATAACATCTCTCAGTAAAAAAAACACCTGGAATATGGGAAATAGACCCGGACCCAAACCATCCAAAACCCTCTTCTACCCCAGGGGTTCTCAGGGGGTCTCCCTATTCAAATACGTGCTGCCGAAGGTGCTTGTTGAGCTCTTCCAGCTTCGCGGGAAGCGTGGAGTGCTCACCTCGGGCGCCAAAAACGCCCCTCGGTGCTCGTTGCAGACCTTCTGAAGACCCACGCACCGGACAAAGGTGCCTGGAACCTCAAAGTTCCTCAAACAACGGGTACCAGTCTCCTGTTTTTGATAGGGCCATGTCCCATTTTCTGGAGTACTTTGGAGGGTCCAGGTGGAGTTATAACAGATGGAAGTACTGTACTACACACCTTCGACCTTTCCTGTCATGCCCAGTTCATTCAAGCGAAACAAAAAATACGAGGGCAGGAGAGGGCGGGTTGGAAGAAGGAACTGTAAAAGATCATCTCAGATCATCTCTGAAGTATTGCTTTCCTTCCTGTACTCCCACGCCTTAAGGGTCCCAACTTGGTCATGTCACTCTTTCCTTCTCTCCATCACCTCCTGATAGTGGTCGCACGACGTCTCCTGCGTGATCACCACATGATGAAATCGTGGTGCATCCTCCCAAATCCCGCCATCAGTGCATCACCACCATATTTTGGGCTCCTCGAACCATCACATCACAACCATCACCCCCCCGGCCCTTCCCGCGCCGCAATGATCGAAGCAAGGAGCCGATGACACCGAACTTGAGACGTGAGTGGAAGCCCAAGTTTCCCACCTCAAAGGCGAAAAGTACACTGAAGATCCTGCTCCACCCCCCATTCCAATGAGGGATTCTCCAGCAAGCTGAAGGACCGATGTGGAAGTCCTGTGGTGGGCTCTTTGACTTGAGACCCTTGAAGTCCTCCATGGGAAATCTGCGGCGATGGTTGCTGTTGGGGGTTTGACCAGGTACATCAGCAGCCAAACGCATACCAGGATGTCTTGGCACTGACCAGGTTTGGGCACTGACCAGGTTTGGATCTACGGAGTGCTCTTAGGACGCACGTGTTCGGACTGGGGCTTCCGCCTCAAGAACAAACACAACTACCATCAAAGGGTGGTTTATAGACCCTCCCTGGCCAGTATGGATAATCACCATCCCACAGCCATGGGAACTGGATGCTGCTGGCACATGTCCCGCATGTCCCTATGGTCACCTATGGTCTTGGACTTTCAACATTTTCCGAAGCCCCCTGGCCCCCCTGCCTCCCCCCCCAAAAAAAGGTTGACAAAATCACATCACAAAACCATCTTGCACTCCCAGGTCACAGAAACCCAGCCGGAGTGAATCCCGCAGCGGATGCTCACCTGGGTGGCTTCGCCCGCCGTGCGGAGAAATCGGTTGGGACGCTGGGTGGAGTCACCGTGTCGGATGATGTGTACCGTGCACTCCTTCGGTTCAACGTAATCCAATTGAACTCTGGCATCAACGTTAGATATGATCGAATTCATCTTCAATCTTCATGTAATCTTCCAGGACGTTCTCTGAGAATCCAAAACCAAAAAGAGGTCGACCTTAAATGAACCATGTGAACCTGTGGGCAGTCCTGTCTCGGGCGATCCGCGGGCTCCGGTCCAAACTCACCGAAAGCGATCCGGTCGACTCTGGAGGCGAACGACGCGTCGCCGAGCCACGTGAGGTAAACCTTTCTTCTTCGACCACTGGTTGATCCTCTGAACGCCTGGGAGCATCCCGCGCGTCGCCCCGGTCGGGCGTCCCGGAAACCACGGCACCCCAGGGGGAGCGACCTGTTTGGACCAGCAAAAAGGAACAGAAGAGACTGCAAGGGAACAGAAGAGACTGCAAGGGAGGTCAGCCTACTAGGGTTTAGGGCCGTTTTCGGTCTTGACTCACAGCCATGTGCCAAAATACGCCACACGACACCTAACACATCCTAACACACTTTCCAAGGAGTCAAACTGAACTAGGATTCCTGACCAAAGCCACCTCACGACACAATTGCACCTTGGGCCTTGGGGCCTGCTGACTCCTCGCTGTATCGGCAACAAGTCGATTAATGAAAGTAGCCTAGTCCAGTGATGCATCTGTGACACAAGTGAATGAGTTCATGTTTGACCATCTAGCCATGCCACCAGTTCATCTTTGGCCCTATTGATGAATGCAACATTCACTCTTTGACCACTCATCCCTCCGCCTCGCTGCATCTTCATCATGGCGCGAACGCAGGCTAAAGCCTCGGCGGGCACGGGCGTTCACGGTGTTGGCCGTGCCTCCGTGGTCTCACACCAAGGCATGTGCAAAGCCGCTTCGTTCGGCTTTCAACGGCCAGCGGCTGTCGGAAAAAGCACCGAAAAGAACGTGGTGTTGGAAGAAGACCAAAAAGAGAGTAGTGAGGATTGCCTGGTGGAGGCCCCCCCGAAAAAGCAGGGAGGTGCTGGCAATTGTGGAGTAGAGAGGAGTCTCATAAGAATTGCAGGTGCTCCAAGGACCAAGGACCTCTAGGAAGAAGAATCAAGCAGACTGAGACAAAGCTGAAAACAACGCCAAACCAATATTTTCATTTGACCCTATTCTAATGCACACCCCTATCAATCTATATATTATATATCTACTCCACTTGCTGGTAAATACTTGATTGGCTTGCTGCGTTTTCTGTTTCGGGGCCAATGCAATAAAAGTAGCCAAGCATGCCGGTGATGACAGGAACCCATTAAGTACTTGGTGGGACTTGGGTTTGTTCAGTTTGCTGAGGTTATATCAATTGTGAACTCAAATTCTTCTCCTGTTCCTGTAGCAACTCTCTCCTGTTCCTGTAGCGAGCTGCTTGGGAATTGGAATTTCCCATACTTTCAGCAGGCTGGAAAGATGACTAGCCTACAAATTCATGCTGAGTTCAGCTCTCACGTTTCATTAACAGGGCCACAAGTAGCAGCCAACGCGGGACATCGGCTTGATCAAGGACCCAAAAAAACACTGCCATACACATGGCCGTCTCACGCAAAAACGCCGCCCATCTTCGACCCAGGTGGCATGTTCCTTGATCTTCGCGGGCGCACCGAAGACGGCCAGGATGGCATCCCCGATGAACTCGATGACCACGCCGTCGTGGTGTTCGATTCTGACCGCCGGAGCGCGGTGTTATCGCGGTGCCGGGCGGTGCTTGGTTTGCAGGTGGGTAGGTTAGATATATTTTTTCCTTGGCCGGTGGTGTTATGGTGAACAACCTGCCCATGCTGCACTAAACCATCATTTCACTTTATGTTACTGTGATTTTACTATGTGCTTTCTCACTATGCGATTTTATGGTGTGATGTCACTGACAGTACGTATCGCGGTTAATGACCATGTGGTCACATGATGTCTCACTTCTCGATCAAATCCACCTGCTCTTCTTGGTGACAGCGGCTGTCACCGTGGGTTCCCGGCCCAATCGGCGTCCACGGGGTTCCGTGTTGAGGGGTGCTCCGACGGAGTTCGCCAAGCCACATCTTGGACATGTCATTGAAGTATCGGCTGAGCAAAACCAGAGTTTGCTCCGGCACCAGTTGTTCCACAATACCTCAGCGCACTGCAAGATGCCTTTCTGTGCGCCAGTGCGTGGTGCGTGTGTGGGGCCCAGGGTCAACTCAACTTAGATCTGGAAGATTCTCGGACATCGTGGTCCCAAAAATCCTCAAAAATCCTGGGTGACCCAGGCAATGGGTGAACATGAGAGAACTTGGGATTGGGAGCAGGTCACTGGAGATATCTCATCTCCACCTCAGCTGAACAATTCAAGTCGAAAACAATCCAGCCCAAGCATGTCCACGGTCCACACTTCCGGGAATCGTCATATAGATCGAAGTGGAAAACCTGTTCTACCTCTCGCGGCCACGGTCGGAATCCCCTCCATTGAGGTGGCCTGTAGCGCCAGCATTCTACTGGAGCGCTAAACGAAAACGTCCACTGAACATGCAAGGATGAGAAAACTACCTAAACTCACCAACAGGAAAGGCCCAGGCGCTCATTGCAGCCCCTGTAACTTTTCGGGACACCTTTGTGAGCAAATGAAGTGCGTCGTCGGAGAAAAAGGGTCGACAACCACACAGTGTCCCTGGTGGCATGGATTTGCCCCATGTATGGGCAATGTGAGGTTCGTATTTGCCCGGCGTGATAGCCCTTCCAAGTTGTCGGCGACAGAAGGCAAAGGACGATTTTAACCATTTCGCTAAGGCTTGGAAAGTACAGTGTTCATCAGCCAGTAGTGTACATGGTGTCCCGAAATGCACAAAAAGGACAGCGAGCTCCGTAAAAGAAACTCTCATGTCAGCTTGGCATGACCACTGTAGTGCTTTAATGAAGGTTCCAAAGTTCGCCCAGTCTTCAACAGCAAAAGGCCATTTCTCGGGTGCCGAGGGCCACTCTTGTTCAAATTTCCAAGGAAAGCATGTCGGATCAGCATGCCATTGGAGGTTGGGAAATTGCGCTTCAGGTGTGAAAGTTTCCTCAAGTCTTTCATCATCCGTTTCATGAATGTCTTTGGAGACCTCCTGCCCCAACAGTATGCAAAGGCGTGTCAACCACTCCTGGCGTTGGAGAACAGCACGACAAACCTCTGGATAGAGCTGATGCTGGATTGCAGCATTCGCCAGCGCAGCTCTTTTTGCGGCATGGTCGGCCGTCCTATTATGGTGTATATCTCGAACGGTGGAGCCGTTGGCTCGTGCCATATCATCGTCTATCAGGTGTTCTGGGATATGCTCCAACAGGTGCGCAGGGATCCACTCAACACTAAGCGGTTGTGGAGCAACCTGTTGGCGTTCCAGCACAAGAGCAAACAAAAATTTCCACCAGGGGAGGTGAGGCCATTGGGGTTGCACTTGCTGATTGGTGCACATCCAAGAAGCTTGATCAACCAAAGTTTTGCAGTCACTTCGCACGTGAACAGGACCACTAGCATAAGTGAACGCATGTATTAGGGCCCAAAGTTCGGCAGTGTAACTAGTTAATGACCAATGTGCGACAGGACCATGGGCGATAACCTGATTATCGGCATTGACGACGGCAAAACCAGCGCACGTGAGTGCAAAATGCTCCGGCCACATGACTGATCCATCCGTCCACACGCGAACTGGTTCAGCCAGGGTCTCCCACTTAACTGGCTGCAGACAAGAGGGGTTAGAAACCTCTAGCCTTTTGGCAAGAACAGACCAAGGGTGCTCAACTATACCTAAGAGTTCAAAGTTGCGGCCAAGCTCATGACAAACCGGTGGGGGATTATCATTAAGGATAATGGGGCACTCTCGAACAAGATGAGGGAGCGATTCTTTGGAAGCCATGCACAAGCGACAATGTGAGGAATCAACTAGCTTGGCTGCCGCAAGGCGGTCATTGGTCAACACGCATCCGACCAGCTGGGCTTGGAAGAATGCTGAGACGGGTGATGGTGTCTCTGCCTCAAACGAAGGTTTACGCAGAAAAAGCGTTGACAAATGAAAATCAAGGAAGCCTCCAGGAGCTATAAAGTCTTTCCTGGATTGTAACGACGCTTGAGCATAGCAGGTATGCCTTGCAAGCTGCTGGAGAATCTTCTTGACTTCACGCACCCCCAACGACATGAAATCCACGAGTTTCTTACCTCGGAAGAGAATCATCCCAGTGGGTTCCAATTCCAAGCTAAAGAAACGGAATGCTTGCTTGAAGCTTTGGGCGATGGAAGTTTTCGATGGGGTTGCTTGCTTGAGCAAATGTCGGAATCTGGTCTCTTCTTGGGGAAACATAGTCAAGAACCTGTAAATGTCCAAGATTGCATTGTAATGCCTCGCACACAGAGGCTCCACACGGTGAGGTTGTGCAAGGAAGGCAAAAACCAGGAACCGAGAACGCCAGTGGGGGCGTCGGTTCCAAAGGACATTCACTATCTCGCCCTGGATTCTGGCAAGAGCTTTAGCCGGGATTCCATTTATGGCTGCATTATAGGTGCACTGCGGAATAACCTTACAACCAATAATTTTTGCTTTTTGGGGGACCGACAATGGCAAAGCTCCGATATTTTTAATGTCAGCAAGGATCTTGGCACATTTGTCTTCCGAAAAGTGCATAGCACATCGATCACTAGTTCGAATGTATACACCTAAGACCTCGAGTTCCAAGACCAGGGACATGTCAGGAAAGAGAGCTTTTACGCGTTTGCGAGCAGCTGAGGTAGTACCCCAGACAGAGCACTTGTTGCTATTCATGGCTTGACCAACTAGGTCGTCCCAAGCTTTTGTGATTTGGATTGCCTTAAACAAATCCTGGCTGTGAATGAGTCTTGTCCAAAGGTAGGCATCGTCAATAAAGGCTCTGGCTGCAACCGTGGGCAAAACATCAAGCATATGGATCCAGGCTTTCATGTGTACATTTACCGCGATCAAAGAGAGGGAGCATCCCTGGGCTACTCCATTTGTACTATGCGTTGCAGCAGGGGCAAACCATGATTTGTACTGTAAGTGGCGTTCCAACTGCGAGTAGAGCTTGAGGAAGACACTGACAATACCCTTAGGGACACCAAAGGTGAGCATTAGGGCTCCAGCATACTGCGGTATGATCCGGTCAAAGCACTTTGCTTTGTCAATTTTTATGCCAATTAGTGGTTCCGAATCACTTTTGGCTTGATCGACGGACAAAGCGAAGTGTGTGTGGATCGCTGACATTTGGCGAGCTGGGATTCCTCCCTGCAGTTGGAAAGGCATTACAACTGACTGCCAATCTCTCAGGTGCCGAAACCGTGCTCCTGTATACGCGAGCAAAATGACAGGGAGCAAAGTAATTAGCCGCTTTTGCAAAGGCTCTGAACTTCCATTCTTGTTAAGTATGACCTGCTTTGCAGTCGCAAGTGCTTGTGGGAGGTGGGTGGAATCCTCCTCAACCTCTCGAAAGAGCAGTGCGAACGCTTCAAAACATTGGAGGGGTAGCATTTGCATTTCTAGAGTACGCCAGCCATCAAGGCCAGGGGCAGCATCAGCTCTTCGACTTTTGACGGTTAGAAACAGGTCATGGGCAGACAAGTCAGGGACCGAACAGGACTGAGCAAAATTGTGCACTTGAGGCCATACAAGTTCAAGCATCTTAAGAGGGTGTGGGAAACCCTCATTAGCGCTGTAAACAGTATCCCATTGTTGGTTGATTTCAGCAATTGCCTCCCTTGGTGCAAAAACAATATTTTTCTGCTGGTCGATGATGAGGTTTGCCGGTTCTTCGGCATTCTTATTTTTGAGGCGCCGAAACAGGTAGGCAGAACCAACCTTAGCCGAGTCATTAATCTTATTCTTCCAAGCTTGAATGCGTCGAAGTTTGCATTTCAGCTCAAGAACAGCCTGGGTGTCCTGGACCCACTGAATGGCTCTGGCTACTTCAACCAGTGTGGGATTGCGTTCATACGGCCACAAGCATGGAGCCTGTAGCCAGAAGAGTCGTGACCAAGTTTTGACAATCGTGCGGTGGCATATGACCTTGCGCGGACCAGGTTGAATGACCTGTGTGTGAAAGGCTTGGATCTCGAAAAGGCCTCCTAAAGCATTGGCTAGCCAGGAGCCACGCTTGGTAGTGGCTGCGCCTGAGTGGTTTTGGCCCGGGCAAATTTGCTTAGGCCGAGTACGAACTGCCTTGCCACGCTCTTGTGGTCCTATTCCCCATGAAGCTCCTTGATCGAGCAGGGTGTCAATGCACAAAGAATTGGCAAAATGCCACTTGTTCTCAATATGCTCATGATGAGGGTAAGCCGGTGCATCAAAAGCGTGACTTTTGAACCCAGGGGGGAAGACAAAAGGTGCAGGTTTGTACAACTTGAAACCTTGTTGCCAAATAATTTTCCAGTTGAAGGTGGCTTTGATCGGTCTGTGTTGAACACGAAAGAACGGCAGCACCTCCACTGAAGCCAGAGCGGCCGTGGCAACCGAGTTGGTTAAGATGCCATCAATGCTGCTGCACCCGTCACCATATCCTGTAAAGTTACCATCCATCGAAAAGGTAAGTGGCCTAGAGGTGTCCTCACCCGTAGCAACTTGCAAAACATCACACCAGTGCAAATAGTTGGTGGCGTGTGCAACAACTGGGTATTGCAGGGGCGGAAGTTGAAAATCACCCGCGATGATGATGGGAATATCCCCCCACTGACTGGCAACCGAAAGAATGTCACTTAACAGAGAATTGTTGAAGTCCAGGATGTGCTTGTCGGCCGAGGCAGCGGTTTTACAGTAAACTGAGAACACCAAGGCTCGCAGGTGTCTAGTGAGTTGGATCCAACACGCTTGCACTCGTTTTGTAGCCCGGAGCTTCACATATAGACCCGTGGCATCCTCGCCTGGGAGGAGTTCTGTTGCAAGCTCTTTTGCTGCAAGGATGGCAACACCTCGTGCGAGTAACGCCATGCGATGATAGCAAGCCTGGTAGTAACTCTCCATGGAAAAGGTGGGAGCTTTCTTGTTGGACCAATTTGGACGCATGAATGACACCGTTTTTTCCAACCCGGGTTTCTTGCACACAAGTGACATTGGCATGACAATTCTTCCAAGAGGTGGAAGTTTTGAGGGAGCCAAC